ATTCAGTTATTGGTAACTTCTTAATTAGAAGTAGTGATTGTAAGGCACATGTTTCATGTGCTGAATTTCAAATTACCAGTGGTCGTAAGCAATAATGTGTGGCATTTCTCACTTATGATGTGAATAACTAATCTCATAAGTTAAAATAGAGTAATATTTAACTGGATATGTGGATGTATTGTTAAAAAAACAAAACATTGGAGACTTGCTATATTTCATATGGATATCTAAGTGCAGTAGTTAATATCTAATGTTTGATATTGAAATTGGTCCTTTGACTTGAGGGCATAATAATACCTTAAATCAAAATAGTCATACTTTGATAATGTTGGATGTTACTCTGCTAAGAGTCACTAATACAACATCTTTTGTGTATGACGAAAGATATGATTGATAATAGAAATTGACACATATTTGTATTTCATAATTGATCCGGTTATATTGATGAAAAGATTATACTTCCATGATAAACCCACATGTTCAATTTTGTCACGCCACGACATTTTTAGTCACATGTCACTACAAAAAAAACTGTGATTTCGCGAAAAGATTTTTTGCAACATACAAAAAGTTGTCACAATAAGATACTTAATGAGACGCATTTTTAAAATTTGTCTCGAAGATTGTGATGAAAAAAATAAGAACCAAAAAAAATATAAGACGACATAAAAAGTTGTCGTGAAATGTAAAAAGTTGTGACAAATAATAAAGAATATTGCCATACATATTAGGGAAGCAAGGCGCCAAAATATTTTTGGTGGAAAATTTAGGGCGACAAACTTTTTTCTTTCAACAAAATGCTTGTAATACAATAGGGTCTACTTTTTGCAATAAAAAATATTTGTTGCTAAAAATTTTATAGTTGGAGAATAAAGTGCTACAAGAATTTACTTTTTTTATTTTTTGGCAACGGACAAAAAATGTTGTTGTAGGTTCTTTACAATGCTCACCTAGATATTGTAGGCTCTAATATTGTTGTAAAATAGAAGGAAACAGAAACGTTCAATTCATGCTGCAAAAGTCCTCAAACATACACTGTTGTAAAGTTTTTACGACATACCACGTCCGTTGCTTTTATTATATTTTGTAACACTCTTTGCTTATTGCCTTAAATTTTTTTTCCAACATTAATCCTTTGTTTTTTCTTCTAGCTAAGTTTTAATATGTAGTGCAAAATTTTAAAATTTTTAATTATTTTCTATCAAGAAGAAAAATTTTATAATAAAAGTTGTATAAAATTTCTAAAAAAATTTTATTCCCAAAAAATCAAGAAGAATCATTAGATGATTAAACTTTCAATCACATAACTACTTACAAAAAATGAATTACTAGGTCGAAACCAATCTATAAAGGAAAATATTGTCTCAACAAGAAAATAAATAAATAAATAAATCATAATTCATATATGATCAATAGGTGGTGGCATGCTAAATATTGTTGTTAGTTCAAATTGTTGTGGAGACATACCAGATTGACTCGATAACAACTTATGCATTAGTGTTTCAAATTGAGAAAGTCTGGCACATATATCCAATAATTCTTGCTGCTGCTTTTGTATTTGCTCTCGAAGGGCTATTGATTCTGTATCAACTGATGTCAAATGAATAGAGTGATTTGAGGCAAGTTTTGGACCATATCCAAGTGTTCTAATGTAACCAATAGATTTTCCTAAAACCTCCTGCATAATTTGAAGTTCAGTGGGGGCCTCAGATCCCTTTTGGAACAGGTTTCTCTTTAATATGAAGTATCTTCTCCTATATATAAGTAAAGAGAAAGAAGATGGAATATATGTTAATAAAAGAATACATATAAAATGTCAATAAAGATGAATAAATTGTTAATATACTTACATATCTTGCTCATGCTTCATCATTTACCCATCTTTTCTTCTTAATGTTATGAGTCTCATAGCAAAGTTCTATTTCTCCTCGTGCATTGTCTTAGTAATTGATCTCTGTTTGAAATAATATATATCATGTTGCATAAATATTTTTTTCTTTATAAATTCAAACGAAAATATTACCTTTTCTTCAAGACGTGAAACAGATGATTTTGATCAGCCACGATGATTATATTTAATGTAGTAGTGGCTTGCTAAATTACGTGTAGATAGTACCGAAAATTAATGCAGTTGTGGTTTGCTAAATATAATTATCTCCTTATTATAATTTATTATTTTTAATTATTTTAATTATTCTAATATAACATCTAAATTACTCTATTCTTATTATTTACAAGTATTAGTATTTTTAATAAAAGTTACTTGAAATTTAGGGGTAGACCAATATTGACACTGTCAGTACCAATCAACTTGCTATATGTCAGTTGGCTAGTTCTTCATTGCATCATCCAATGTTTTCCCATTGAAATATTTCTCTGAGTCTACATCTATGATCACAATATCTTCTCCCTAAATTATCATTCACACATTTATGGACATGCTCAGTTGTCAAATCAAGTTTGAATTTTGCCTATATGTATAAATAAATTATTTATTAAAATATGGGAAACTAATAACTATTCAAATTATTATTATTATTTTATTATTATATTATCATTCACACATTTATGGACATGCTCAGTTGTCAAATCAAGTTTGAATTTTGCCTATATGTATAAATAAATTATTTATTAAAATATGGGAAATTATATGTAAAAAGTGAATTTGTTTATGATTTACCAAAACTTGATCATATAATTTATTTTTCTCTTCATTGGATAAGTCAATCTACCTATCGTAACAGAGTGGAGCAAAGGATCAAATGACAGAGCCACACTCACTAGCCAAACTTGCTTGTTGATTTCCAATAGCTCTTCCCAGGTTTTAGAAATCTCCAATGATATTTTTTCATCTGCACTCATGATATCATCAGTGCCCTTGCCTCTTGTAGGACCACGTCCCTTTCTCTTCAAAGAATGAGAATCTATGAAAGAAGTTACTCAAAGGATGAGAATATATAAAGAAAAAAATGAGATTCTATCAATTAAATGTATACATTAGGATGATTTTAGATCATAAACATAAAGATAAATCATTACCATTTGAATTGAGAATGGTTTCATGTGTCAATGTGGTTGCCTATGATTAATTAAGTTGAGGCTGAGGCTGAGGCTGAGGCTGAGATAATGAGGTAGGAGCCTGAAGAGGTTAAGGTAATGGAGTAGGAATTTGAACATTACTAGTTTGAGACAATGAGGAAGAGATATTAACTTGAAGAGTAGTTTGGGACGATGGACCCTTGCATGATGTCTTTGACGAGAAAACTTTTGAAGGTGGCTCATAGGATGTAGTAAAAACTCTATTTTTATTGCCAATTCTTGTTCAAGAAGCCATTAGGAAAAAAGAGAGATCATTTTCAGCCAAAAAAATGTGTCCATTCTTGCCTATTCTTGTTTGAGAAGCCATTATCTACAAGAGCCAAAATTGATGATAAAATATTTTGTACAATTAAATTTAGCTATTTTTAGGAAAAAAGAAAAAAAATGATTTATTTCTCAACGTAAAGTCAGCACTTCTTTTTTTTTTTTTCTCAATGTGGTCCATAAAGCAGTGGTGGTTTTGATGAATGTCCTAGTCACATTATAAAACTACTATTTGGGTATTTGGAGAATAAAATGCTATCTTTACGAGGATTGGCGTGACATTATTCTCCCTCTGTAAAAAGTCATCTAACCAAACAAGTAGATTTGAATCTGTTTGGCACAACCAGGCTTGGAGCCAGCACCTGGCGAGGGGGCGCGGTCGCGCGTGCTTGCTCCGTCGGAATCTTCAAAGCTGTCGGGTAAGGAGTTGCAGTCTTGCAGAATCGCCTGGTCACTGGTCAGTGTGCAGCGGCCATTGGAGAAGAAGGAAGATGAAGGAGCCGTCCCTTTTTTTTTTTTTTTGGGTTTGGGCTTCAATAAATATTAAATTTTGGGCCTATTCTTATTTAATTTATTTAGCCCAAATGAATTTATCCAACATATGGCCTTGAACCCGTTGCCCATTTCATTTGGCCATTTTCTTCAAATTTTCAATCCCCAGCAGACGAGCTCAAGCAACGCAGCAGCCAGCAAGAATTGTGAATTTTTCCCAAATAGCCAAACCCTTTTCCTCAATCTCACTTCTTCTTGCTCCAAATTCACACCACAAACCACACGACCTAGCTGACTAGCTCCAGACTCCGGGCAGACCGAATAAACAGCAAACTTCATCAAAGCATTCACTAGTCGCTGCTTGCCTGCTGCCTGCTCCGTGCCTACTACCGACTGTCGAATGCCCGAATTGTCAACCGGACAGTGAACTCCATCAGACTTTCAGACCGGTGACTCTTTCTCTCTCTTTATTATTTTTTTTTTGGGGTTTTGGTGTTGACGTGTTGTTCTATTTTATTTCAGTTGTTTGGCTGTTTTGATTTTGTTCGATTTTGTTTTGCCCCTGCTACTCAAAGTCTGCCTATTTTGTTTTGATTTTGTTCTATCTTGGAGTTGTTGATGTTGATTGTTGAGCATTGAAAATTTTGATAGTAATTATGTTATTATTTATTCATTTGGAAATTTATGTTTGCGAATTGTGATTTATGAATTATGATAAGTAATTTACGTTTTATCATGATGAGTTATGATTATTGATTTGGGAATTTATGTTTACGAAATTGTATTTGCGAATTGTGATTTATGATGAATAATTTATGATTTGATGAGAGAATAGGATATTAGGAATGATTATTGATTTGGGAATTTACATTTAGGATGACATTTTGCAGATTATGGAATGATTTTTTCAACCAACGAAAGTCTATACCCAATTCTTCTACTTCTAGTTGTGCATCTAGTCCCGCTACTGATTCTAGTCGAGCACAAGAGTTATTGAATAACACAAAGAAGTCTCGGGCTCAATTTAATGTGGATGATCTTGTATCTGATCCAGGGACACCCCCCTATTGAATCATATGATCCTAATATCAAAGATGTTGTTAGGATGGCATATTTAGAAAAGGGTCCTTGTCAACCATATGAACATGATTTTCCAAGAAGACCGATGGAGAATGATAATAGATGTTTTCGAAAAGAATGCTTCTCCTAATTTCATTGGTTGGAATACAGTACAGAAAAGGATGCGGCGTATTGTTTGTATTGCTACATGTTCAAACTGGATAGAAGGGGTCAAGGGGGTGGACATATATTTACTAAAACCTGCTTTAGGGATTGGAAGCACAAAAAGGCATTGAAAGATCAGTCCCTTTGATAGTTCTCATAATCAGGCTTTTGCAAAGTGTACCAACTTGATGAATCAAAAGTAAAGTATCTCTTACATTATTTCTAGCTAAAGTAGTAGTCAACAACAAAGTTATAGGACCAGGCTGACTGCTGCGCTAGATTGTACTAGACTCCTATTGATGCAAGGATTGTCATTTCATGGTCATAATGAATCGAAAGAATCTCTTAATAGAGGAAATCTAATTGAGTTATTGAACTGGTACGCAGCTCGTTATAAGGAAATTAAAGAAGTATTATTTAGTAGTGCTCCTGGAAATGATCAAATGACTTCACCAACCATCCAAAAGGATTTGGTTAATTGTTGTGCCGTAGAGACGACAAGGGCTATTATCAATGAGATTGGTGATTCTTTGTTTTCAATTTTAGTTGATGAGGCTCGTGATAATTCTATGAAAGAACAAATGACAGTTGTTTTAAGATTTGTTGATAAAAGTGGGCGAGTGAAGGAGCGTTTTTTGGGTATGTCCCATGTCACTGATACTTGTACCCAATCACTGAAGGATGCCATTGATGCAATACTTTCTACACATGTATTGAGTATATCTAGTCTGAGTGGTCAAAGCTATGATGAAGCAAGTAATATGTCAGGTGAGTTCAATGGGTTGAAAGCTTTAATTCTTAGAGAGAACTTACATGCTATGTATGTTCATTGCTTCACTTACCAACTTCAGTTGGCAATTGTATATGTGGGACGTAGGAATTGTATGGTTGGTGATTTTTGGACGCACTTGCTATTATTGTGAATTTGGTTGGTGTATCATGTAAGCGTGTAGATGCTCTTCGAACAAGTTATCAAGCTAATATTCTAGAGAAGCTTAATACTAGGGAACTTACTGGTGGAAGTGGTCAGTTTCAAGAAATGAGTTTAGCACGCCCAGGTGATACTAGGTGGGGCTCACATTTATTGAAAGTTACTCGTTTCATTAATATGTTTAATGCTATTATAGATGTTCTTGAGAATATATCAGAAGATGGCGTACATTCAGATAAAAAATCTTCGGCCTTAAGACAGATGAACAATATAGAAGATTTTGAGTTTGTGTTCATTCTTTACTTTATGTTTGAAATTCTTGCAATTACAGACGACCATTCACAAGCCTTACAGAAAAAGGATCAGGATATTCAGAATGCTATTAGTTTATTGAATTTGTGTAAGTGTGCATTACAGAACTTGAGAAAGAATGGTTGGGATACTTTGTTCAGTAGTGTGACTGAGTTTTGTGTTGATAGACATATTTTAGTGCCTAATATGGAGGATATTGTAGTAGTGAAAGGTCAACTAGGCGTGTAGCTCAGCATGTGACTTATTTTCATCGATTTTATGTTGATTTGTATTGTCATGTGATAGACTCAATCTTGCAAGAGTTGAATGATCGATTTCCAGAAACAACTACTGAGCTCTTTACTTGAATTTCATGTTTAAGTCCAAGAGATTCATTTGTAGCTTTTGATAAGGATAAATTGCTACATCTTGCTCAGTTCTATCCTTTGGACTTCAATAGTGAAGAACTTTTATTACTTAGACCTCAGCTTGATAAGTTTCTTTTGCTTGTGAGAATGGACGAAGCTTTCTTTAATCTCAGTAGTATATCCTGTGTAACTCAGAAGTTGATTGAAACTAGAAGTTTCTGTTATTTTCCATTGGTTTATAGGCTGCTCACCTTGGCTTTGACATTACCCATGGCAATTACAAGTGTTGAAAGGGTATTTTCTGCTATGAATCTAATCAAGAGTGATTTGCGCAACAAAATGGGATATGACTAGTTGAATGACAATTTGGTGGGTTACTTGGAGAAAACTATTTTTAAAAAAACTTGAGAATGAGGCAACATTGCAACGTTTTCAAATCATAAGACCCCGTAGAATACAGTTGTCTAAGTTTACAGTTACAGAGTAACTGAGTAAGGTTGTATCGTATATTTTTTTTTTACTATTTTGGGTTGTATCGAAGTATATTTTCATATGTATACCGGTCAACGGTCAATCCGCCCTAGTTGGACTTGGATCCTGGATTCGCCGCTGGGCACAACTATTTATTTCGCTAAATATTAATTAGTTTTTATGTATCTCATGAATAATATTTATCTTCCTATAAAATCTACTAAAATTAATATTTTATTTATAATTTCATGATGCAAGAAACCATACTCGCCCAATATCCCAAGCATAGATGACTTAAAAATATGTTTCTCATCCTCTGCGACTTGAATCGCATTAAGTGTTGAGGATACAAATCCAAAGAGTGAGGAAGAGAAAAAGAGAACGAGAAGTGAAGGACAAAGTATTGAATGACAGCCATTGCACTCTAAGAAGTTAGATTGATCAAAAAATACTACACAGTTCCATAGATTGGCACAGAAAAAGTCGCTTAAACTAAAATTTAGGCAAGGATTGATGATGATTCAATAACGACAGAAAAAAATTATTGTTACAATGTTGAACACAACATATTAATATGACTCTCAGGATCTCTAGCGAATAAAGGATGTAATTGAGAGGCAACTTGCAACTTATTTAACTATTATTATTCACAATGTTATTTACAGATTTTGTATATTATATATACACACAATTGTTTTTCTTGTAAATTATATTAGATTAAAAATCGAACATCAGGCGTTAGGTAAAAAAAATATGTGAGTACCAAAGATTTATACAATTTCCATAACAAGCAAACAACACGAATTGTTGTAAAACATGAGATGGGGAAAAAGAGATATAAACGTACCTAGATCGTGACTAAGTATATCAATAGTCTTTGACAAATGACCAAGAGAACTTTGAAAAGAAAACATTCTTTATATATATATAGAATTTTTTTTTGTGTAATATTTTTCGATTTTATTTTTTAATATCTATCTACATTTTTTCCTTTTCTATGTAGATCCGAGTACTGACGATGCATCTACCGAGAGTCAATAAGAATTTTTATTGCCGTTTAAGGTTAGAGTAACCGACTAATGAGATATATTTGATTGCTTATTGTGATGGTTGTTGATCTTGTGCTAACATTCAATATGATTCTAAAGAGTTACACCAGACATTCATTTAGTTTAGATGTTTTTGCACTAGTGCAATGCTTTTAGAATAAGTAAATAGAATCAAGGGCCTATAGACTATTGTAGAAGACAAAATATTAATTATTCAATGTACACACAGTAATGAAGAGCTTATGCAATATCTTATTTTAATCGTACAACAGAGTGTTAGAAACAGTAGGCCGCTGCACAATCCATTGCCTTTCACAACACCAAAAAAAAGTTTTTGCAACGGCCAAAAAATGCTGCAAAAGACCTATTGCAGCGTTTTGACGTGTGTTACGAACGTTGATGTTGCCGTTGACAGAAGAGTTTTTGGAATGTTTACTAAACGTTGCAAAAGTCTATCTTTTGGAACGTTTGTTCAAACATTGCAAAAGAGAGGTTTTAGCAGCGTTTGTTAAATGTTGCAAAAATCTCTCTTTTGCAATATTTGAACAAACGTTGCCGTAGGTCAAATATGTATATATATTTTTTAATAATGTGATTTACATATATCTACCACGTAATAGAAAATAACTATATCAAAAAACTCCAATAATCATTATTAATTGAACTCTAAAATGTAACAATATTCGTACAAAATCCAGATCAAAAATTCTAAAACACCTAAAAATCCAATACATTTTCCCCCAGAAAAAGGAAAAAAAAAAAAGGAAAAAAACCACTAGAGTGAAACCACCCTATTGGCTTCCTTAATTTTCTTCTCAGGACATATTACTTAGATACATGATCCTCTATCATTATATCCAGTGTCAGAACCTCTAGCATGTCCTGGGAGAGAATGAGAACTTGATCTCTGTCCTCCCGCTTATTTTCCATCTGCAAGAACAGGCAATTCATCATAGAATCTCTATATCAACAACTCAACAACAGCAATATATTTTGGTTGAAAAAGGAGAGAAATTTCAACTGCAATTTCTATGATGCAGTAGAAAAAAGACCTACCAAGTAGTTCATAAGCTTAACAATTTTTTCATAAAGATTAGGAAGAGCGCTCAGTTTGTATTCCTCCTAAGACCATTTTGATAGTCTTACAACAAAGAATACAACAACAATCTCAAGTATACAATAATTCAAGAGACCAAACAAAGGCAATTTGAAGCATATTAGTGTACAGTTCAAGAGTCTATCCCTTAAAATTGAAGCTATACTACCTATTCTAAAACTGAAAGTATCATGAAACATTCTTGTTACTTCAAGTATACAATAATTCTCAAACTCAATAAAACATTTAGCTATTTCCACAGCACATATGATCCATTTCAACACTTTGGAATGAAAACCATAAAGCTTATTTCAATCATCACCAGTTTGTTTAAGAAACTTTTTGAAATCCTTTAATATACAATTGTGAAAGAAATAAGTGACTGCAACATAGCCAAGAAAAATAGGTAAAACAAGTGTTGAGAGAGGTGGGAAGAAAATATTCATTAATTTATCTAAATGACATATACTTGCATGCATTTAGGGAGGGAGAGGGAGGGAGGCACCAGACACCATGCATAAAGGTTAGAATAACTTGTATTGTATAGGTTTCAGGTCCATAAGGAGCCAATATTAATTCCAATAACATTTTAACTCAAAAGCATCTCAGTTTTGATACAGTGCCAATAACAAACATAAGCACATACATACATGTAACTCATATTATCATAAACTCTTGTTGGTGAGTTCAGTTTTATGTATCCATTACACCCTTTGCACAAGTTCCTGATCCACCTCAAATCTTATATATCTGAAAAAGAAAAGTAGTAGTAGGAAAATACTTCTATTTTTTAGCTTGATTCTAGAAGATAAAGGATATGCAAACTCATGAGAAGAATGAATTAAGAAGAAAAAATGTAATCAACTTAATTAAAAAAAAAACTACAGCAGTAATTTTCCAGAAGATGCAAAATAGACTAAGCATAAACTCTTTCTTGACAATGAAAAAGTAAATTCCTCCTGACAAGTAATGAAGGGAAGAATTTCTTGTTTCCAGATATAACTCAACATTGCTGAAATGGGAAGTGTTGGGAAAACACCTCCCAAAGATTGCCCAAGATCAAACAAAGCTTGACAATGTGAAATTTCCCAAAACACTTCAAGAACAAGAAAATGGGGAAGAAATGATTTCAATGGAATAAATGAAGAACAATGTGTTTGGATTACTTGAACAAGCCTCAAGTTAATCCCCAAGAAAGAAAATAACTTTGAATTTATACCCAAGATGAACAACCTCAATCTTGTAAAATTCTATCCAAATTTTCTCTCAATTTTCTCTCTAAAATCGGGTCTAGGTCTTGTGCTTCATTTATTCCATTGAAATCATTTCTTCCCCATTTTCTTGTTCTTGAAGTGTTTTGGGAAATTTCACATTGTCAAGCTTTGTTTGATCTTGGGCAATCTTTGGGAGGTGTTTTCCCAACAATTTGGTATCAGAGCTTCTTCCTAAATTAAGATGGTTAAGCTTCGATTTTTGGTGAGTTGCTTGAACTTTGTTATGCACACAAGGTGTTTGTGAAAATTCCTAAGTGAACTTTGGTGGTTTATTTTCGGTAAACAAGTGGATAAATCATGTCTACTAGAGGAATGGTGAAGATTGGGAAGTATGAGATAGAGAAATTCAATGGGAAGAATGATTTTTCATATTGGGGGCCTAGGCGCCATGTCCAGGCGCCTAGGCGCCCAACTGGTTTCTGCCAAAGCAGAAACTGGGCGCTAGGCGCCCCAGCACATATATATATTTCCGATTTTTTCCCTCTTCATTATGTTATAACCCTTGCACCCAATTTTGAGAGAGCAAAAGGGAGAAAGCTTGGATTGAATTTTTACAAGATTGAGGTTGTTCATCTTGGGTATAAATTCAAAGTTATTTTCTTTCTAGAGGATTAACTTGAGGCTTGTTCAAGTAATCCAAACACATTGTTCTTGATTTATTCCATTGAAATCATTTCTTCCCCATTTTCTTGTTCTTCAAGTGGTTTGAAACTTTTTTCACATTGTCAAGTTTGTTTGATCTTGGGCAATCTTTGGGAGGTGTTTTTCCAACAATTTGGTATCAGAGCTTCTTCCTAAATCAAGGTGGTTAAGCTTCAATTTTTGGTGAGTTCCTTGAACTTTGTTGTGCACACAAGGTGTTTGTGAAAATTCCCAAGTGAACTTTGGTGGTTTATTTTCGGTAAACAAGTGGATAAATAATGTCTACTAGAGGAATGGTGAAAATTGGGAAGTATGAGATACAGAAATTCAATGGGAAGAATGATTTTTCATATTAGAGAATGCAAATGAAAAACTTGTTGATTTCTCAAAAGTTGCACAAGGCATTGGCGGGAAAGGAGAAGAAACACGTTGATATGTCGGACGAGGATTGGGAAGAGCTAGATCTTGAGGCACGAGCATCTATCATTCTTTGCCTTGAAAGAGATGTTGCTTTCTTGGTTAATAGTGAGGTAACGGTGGCGGAGGTGTGGACAAAGTTGGAGACAAACTTCATGATGAAGGCTCTAACAAATAGGATCTATTTGAAGTCCAAATTGTATACTTGCAAGATAGATGAAGGTACACCAATCCGGGAGTATGTCAACAAGTTTGATAGGATCATATCGGACTTGAAGGACATTGATGTGGAAGTAGATGATGAGGATCAAGCACTTCTACTACTTCTTTCATTACCAAAGTCTTACAAGAACCTAGTACAAACATTGATGCTTGTGGGTGATAAACTTGTGATGGAGGACATTA